ATTTAGCCCGCATATTCCTTTCTGCTCAGTATTGCGTTAGTCTTGTGCAACAATGTGACACAGAATTGTATACTGATCGATTATTAAAAAAAAACTGTCCCATCCAGGCGCACTCTTACAAAATGCTCTATAAGGCAGCAGTCAGACCGATGTCAAGAACAAGAAATTCGAACAAAACTGCCACTATCTCCTGCCGGCTCATTTGGACATCCAGTTAAACCACACGTACTTACCTTTTCTCACCAGGACAGGGTTTATTTATGTGAGTAACTGCTAATTTGATGAGCTCGCTAAATTTGCCCCACGTAGTGAGTGGGCACCGCCTCGTTGAAAGCACCAAAGGAGCGCTGGAATAAAAAACGTACAGAATCAACGGTTAGAAAGAGTCAGATAGAGCAAGCTGCCAAATACTTGTCGGTCGCAAATGCTAAGAGCCAGTGCAAGCGTTGACTGGAAGCTGACTTACTGGGCGAGTTCGAAAGTGTCTGCATGTGTTGCCCAGATCAGGAATAGCAAGGTAATTTTCAACCGAGGTTCGTTTGAGAGAATGCGGACACTTGCAGTATGTATAGTATCTAATAATCAGCCGATCGGACGTTGTGGCATCTACTTATAACCGCCCAACGAATGACCTCTGGTTTATTCCTGTGATACTGGCAAACGCTTTTTCGTTGCCACATGGGCTCTCTTAGTAAATAAAGAAGGCGTAACCCTGTCAGTGGCTGTTTCACGTACGCTGCAACATATTACTCTATCCCTTGAAATAATCCGGGTCCTAAAAGGACTATGGAAATTACTCGTGCTCTGAAAGTTGCTCTATTGAGTGAAATCACCAGTGCAGTAAATCCTCGCTTTCTCGAGGAATGGTGTGAATTCAGCAGAGATAATATCCACAACGCGGTCTGTAAAAAACGTTATCTCGAAGCCAGAGGAGAGTAACGCTGACGGCAGTCGCAAACGCTCGCTTAGAAGCAATGAGACTTCATCAATCGGTGACGATTTAGCGTTGGTTTCGCCTGTAAACCAAGTGAGCGGTCTTTTTTCCACGGGTCCTGCACAGCTAATCTGCACCTAAATGGATTCATATTTCCCAAAGAGCTGTCGTCTTTTAGTGTGACACAATGAGGGAAGCATCAGTAACTGTGGCTCACGAAAGTACACTAGGTTAGATTTGGAGCACTAATGAAATGCCAGCAATTACAAAACAAAAATGCTGAGCCTGAAAAAATCCTGCCAAGCATTCGAAAAAAGGGAAAATCCTTAATTAAACGCTGAACCTCACTCGAAACGCTAGCTCGCGTAAAGTGGTCAGTCAGCCCGAACAGAGAGCTGACAATATATCTATGTGATTTGACTGTACATGGAGCGAAATTCACAACAGTTACTACAAAACGGTACAGTCTGTTCTTGAAATCCATTTAGAATATATCACTGATCAATTCTGTCAGTTCGCTCACATGAGGTCAGATCACGCGTAGATCGTGTGGACTGGGAAGAAATTTCAAATAGTCTGGTAGACAAGTAATCGATGAAGCTATCGCGAACGATCAGGCGAGTAGGGGATTGACGAGAGTTGTTTGTCCGCGTAGATCATGATAGCTATAACACGTGTTAAATGTGTTCTCACATAGGCTTACTCGGTCTACGTTGTTTCACAAGATAGGAAGTAGTCAGAGGAATGTAATAATCTGCCATACTTGTTCGTCAGAGAGGTATCTGCTCAGCTGACTTGCTCATTATGGTAGGCTTTTTCCGTCTTCAAACAGACCTACGCAATAGTGATGGACATGAAACGCGTGAGCTTGCCATCGTGAACATTGATGCTGGTGTTGTGTAAAGGCTACCAATGAGCACTGGACAGTTGTTTCATCCTTGTTAGGATTCATCAGCAATGTGCACTATTTTTGTGTCCCATTGGAGTGAAACCCACACACTAATAACAATCCACTGACGCTATATCTGTGAATTAGCATCGAAAATAACAGGAACATTTTTCATTTGAATTGCCATACGCTCAAGTGTAGTCCGGTGGTCAAGCTTGTGCCTTCCAACCTGAATGTTTGCGATTGGAGTCACCGAAGTCAGTACACTCCGCTGATGGATTCTGTTTGTGGGCCTTGGTGCAACATTCTTGATGAAATGTATCAGAACATCAGGGCTGAACTGTGTTCCGCACTAGAACAACAAAGCAAAGACTCTTTGTCTTCATTTTCAAGTGATGCTTACGCGTCATTTTTAGTTTTCATACAAATCTTGTTTCACTTCATCCTGATTTACATATATATATATATACATATATATATATATATATAAAAGATAACTAAGATGGGGGTGCGCAATCCATCTCGCATTTGCTGAAATCCGATCGCTGCATATATGACGAACTGTCTGGCGCACTGGAATTATTATCGCTAATTCAATTAACCCACTGATGCTTTTATTATTTTCTCCGTCTTTGTTTTCCGGTCGATGTCAATTGACGGAGGTTGTGGTTACAATGTTTTTAAAAGTTTTGTCTGTATCAAGTCATTTGGGGATCGTCTTCGTGCATACGATCATTGGGGCAGTCACTCATGAAATGGACTGTGGCGAGAATTATTCTGCTACTTGTCTTCTTGGTTTCCTTAATCCCAGGGTTAACCTAGTTTTAAAACAAATAAATTCTGCGCATCTACATTATCTTTATCCAAAACCCGGTTGAGACAATGCGAATTCACTGACTTGTGCGCGCTGTTCTTGTCCGCTTAGCACCTTCGTTCGACCTGGATGAGGTGTATACACTTAACGCCCTTTGTCACACGCGCGCGCACACACACGAGTCTTCACCAGCCGATGTTATCGTATCGGTCATTTTCTAAGGAGTGTGAAATGAACTTCATTTACTCCTCTGCTCTCGCTCCGAACTGATCCATCGTCTCACTTATTATCTGATAGTCATCCACCGAGGCGTAATGAATGTGCTAATTGCGTTGACTCCATCCGCGTGTGGCGTGAATATGATGCCTAACTGGATTAAGGTGCGTCCGCTCTCGTGATAGATTTGGCGCGCAAGACTGGGAACTCTTAGAGACTTTGGGTGGATTTGGAGTTATTGCTAACACTCAGTTGAATGTGGTGCCCTGTCCCCCCCCCACCCGTACCGGTTTACACTTCCCCAGGTGCCGTATTTTCGCTAAATGTTTACTCTTTCTGATTGCCCGTTGTTTTGGACGTGCACACATGAAGTGTTTTCCCTCTTCAGTTTGCAAGGTAAGTCTGAAGGATGCCCACTCGGCCATTGGAGTTATTCGTAAATACCGGGACTGGACAGCTCAATTACCGAAGGATGAAAACAATTTCATCTCATTGCCTGGAGTTTCCACAGCCTGGAGTTTGCTACAAAACCTCGGGGTGGAAAGTGACGACAAAGCCTCATCTCAACTTTGTCTTCCAGTGGGCGTGGTTACCATGTGCAAGAGGTAAGTGTATCCCCGTCCCACTCCCTTCTGTCGGGCTGATTTACAAAGTGATGATATGTGCACAATAATTTGAACACAAACGGGTTCGAGATATTTGTTCTACTTATCAGAGCGCATAATCGTCAACGTGTTAAGCACCACCATTTGAAAAGTGTTGTACCTCTGTTTTTCATCCATGTCAACAATCATTATTCTCCCCTTAACAAATTTGAATAAAGAAGCCAAAAACACAGCTTTGCACAATGTATCCTGGATCATTTCGCTGCATCTGTACATGTGTATACTGTAGTCTGTGTGATCATTATAATATATGTGGTCAGTAAATAACAGAATAACATAGGCGGAGAAAGATTGCGGTCAAAAATACTCACCAAACACATTTGTTACCAAGGTAGCACCAGAGTGATGGGCCATTCACGCTGTTTACACGGTTTGGGATGGTAATTTTGAATGGATAGTGCCTCGGCGTATTTCAGAACCTTGGTGTTGTTTGTGTTGTAGAGGATTCTGAACGCATCGCGCAGCATGACACAGTGTTTCATTTCGACCAGGTGTTGTGTGNACTGAGTTTCTTATGCGTTATTGGTGACCTCATACTTCTGAAGTTCCCACTCATTGTTTTCTGAAGCCAGACCAGAATGTGCTCGGTTACCCGATAACGCAGTTGTCTCTCCGTTCTGCCGATGTAGATGGCCGAGCATCCACACTTACAGTATGCACGTGTACAGATGCAGCGAAATAATCCAGGATACATTGTGCAAACCTGTGCTTTTGGCTTCTTTATTCAAAATCATTATTCTGACAGGTTTAAAACAGCTGCACAAAGCCTTTCAGCAGATGCATAATGTGTTGGCTCTGCTTGACGAATATATTTTTCTACACCGTCATTTTTATTTTAAAACTGATTAGATTAGTGAAGGCAATTAACATTGGTCGTCTTTTACGTATAATGTAATATGAGTGGTAAATATGGAGTAATCCATTTGATTGTTCACAGGTACCAGGCATCATTTATGTAGAATATGTTTATCGGATGTTTCACACCCAAATCTTTTTTGCAGTCGTTCGAATAGATGAGCAAATGCCTCTGCTGACGAAGGGTGATAGTCTCATGATACAGAGTCGACCTACCACTCATCACTCGTTACTCAATAAATTTGAAAGCACCTCGTACAGTTTATTGGTATAGTCTTGGGTTGCTTGAGAATCCAGATAAGGAAAAGCTTTATTCACCCTAACGAGTCAGTTTTCGGCCGGATTCACACACACCAAAACGACCGGTCACTTTCAAATAAAATTTACGATCTTCAACAAAATATTTTCAATATACATGGCAATGGACCAGAAAAGATGAAGAGCTCAAATGACGCCGAGATATTTCACCTGTGTGATTTACGGATATAGCTTGATTAGGCGAAAGAGTGCGAGAAGCGGATCCGTTTAGACGGTGACAGTTGAGAATTCGGCAGATGTTCACACGCTTGAAAACATTCATTTGAAAGAAGCGGAATGCAGCCCGATTGCTGAGATTAGGCAAACCGTTATGGAGTGAACTAGTGCCAGACGGTTTGGATGTGTAGAAATTTAAAAACAACACTTGCCTGTTTTCAACTAAACACTATTTGGTGGGAGAGGAAGTTAGCAAATATTAGGATTCCTCATGCACAGAGAGAGAAAGAAATAGAAGAGCTCCATGAACACCTCAGAACTGATCGAATCACTGATAACTATTTGAGAAAAATATCCACCTGAATGTAATCATGTTTAACTTTTTCATTGAATACGTTTTTAACTGGTTGTCAACTGCAAATGGAACTTTCTGTTGTGCACATTTTATCGTCCACTTTCATTTCAGTCCATTCGATGACTGCAAAACATAAAATGATCCCAGCTTCACTGCTGTATGCTAACAATTTTGAAGTTTCGACTGTTTGAGCTATTTTGGTAGATGTGTAGTGAATCGTTAACTGTCAGTCTTAAAATTTACATCTTTTTCTCAAGCATTGGTCTTTGGGTGGAGGCAGTAGTGTTTTGCCATTGCATTTCACTTTCGTCTTCCATTGCTTTGCTAGATAACTGTTCAGACGGAATGTTCTTATTTTTCTTCAAAATAACGTGTTAGCCCAAGCAGTTGTCCGTTTTCTGTTTGAGTAATACAAAAGTCACGGACTGAATGGAGCGGAAGGAAATACGTTTATTTTCCACTGTCGGCCCGTGAATATGCACCCGGCCATGTTGTTGTCGTTGTTGTTATTATTATTCTCGTCAACGCTCTAAAAACAGATCCGATTGATCTGTTTGCAATTTAAAAGGCTGTCTGGTGATGCGTGATGCTGTATCCAGTTAAACGTTGATAACATCCCGAATGTTGATCTGAATGACTCGGTATGTTTGTTTTTTAAGCAATACGGTTGAATTGTTGCAACAGCATTTTTGGGATTGTTTTACTACTGCGACGAATAATATTCTTAATAATCTACTCTTGTGAATCGCCGAATAAGGTGGATCTCGTTATCCTATCCACTGCGCATGCAAACTGATGTAGCAGGCAACAATAACTGACAACAGAAATGCATTTTGAACTGAGGTGAGACAGAGTGAGCTTTGAGTTTCTTCGAATAATTCGAGCCTCAAAATCAACAGCAACCGGAATTCATTCTCCAGTTTGATGTAGCCGGATAGAGAAAGAGTTTGTAATCTTTTCCGTAATTCACTATCCGTTTATTAGAATAAGATGAAGTTTTCTACACTTTGGTATAAAAAACATTCAGAACAGAATATTATGTTGTATTATATTTCACACGCGATTGAGTTTAGATTATGTACCGAACAAATATCAAAGTAAAACAGTCTTTATAACAAAGAAATAAGTCGATGATTTTCTCGGAGGTTTATACTGCCAGGTTGCTTGAGCTAAAGCTGGTGTGTTTTTTCTTGGGAAATTCACAACTGGATCTTTCGGCTTGCCCAAACCCGATTCGCAACGCAGCGGAGCAGTGTGCAAAACCTATCCTTTGGACCAGGTCACATGTCCAAGGGACCTAGTACATCTCGATACCAGCGACTATTGCCATAAACCGGAAGGTATGTCGTTCGTACGCTTCTTGTTGGTTAGGATGGAATCAGGATTTCAAACCCATTCTCCTAGGTGACTTGCCAGTGTTTCACCAACCCGGTTATGTTGGTTTTTCGTTCTCTGACTTTGGGAGGAAAACACCTTCCACCACGGAAGGCATTGATTGAATAGGGCTTCCCCAGCGAAGGTTATTTGAGACGCCTAATCTGATAGGAATATACTGCAAAATAGCCAGTAGCACTGTGACAAGAGTTTATCGAAAGTGGTTTAAAACTATAGAGCAACCGGTAAATTCACTATCTTTCAACAGCCACCGAGGTAGAATTGAACATATCAATTTGTGCTTGGAGTGTTTGTGTAGAGCATTACGTTGACCAAAACACACGCATTCGGCTGCGCAACGGGAAAGATGAAAATTTGAAAATTAATTGCATTTCGATGTTGGAAGCCTCCCGGAAATCAGCCGAGAGATATTCGCATCAGACTGCCCTTGACTTAATAATTTTTCATCTTATGTTCGCGCGTAAATTGGTTAGCATTTGTAACTTTTGCCACAATGTGCACCAGTTGAGTTGTAGCCGATTTTTTGTGAACCTCAATCTTATCTTGTTTCTTATCCTGATGTTTGGTAATAAACAAACAACTGACTATCTTATCTGTGAATTTTTGAATGGCTGACCAGCATGACTAGATCATAATCATTTTCCGGTAATATGGGAACTGTGCCTCGCCTGCCCTTTTCTCCCGGCTTACTCACAGTCCTATGCCAGGTCTACGTTGCGTTATTTCATTTCATAAGATACCTGACAGCAAGCGCTTTTCACTTGATATTCGCCTGCTCCCCGTGTTTGTCACTTTACTATCCGTTCTTCCAAATCCAACAACAATCATTGTAGTTTGTTAAGTTTCCTTGTTCGTTGCTAGGCATTTTCTTGGAATAAATCTTGTTGGTACTAATTTTGTTTTTCTATAACCAATTCTTCCTAA